GCAGCCGGGGGGGGGGCTGCAGCAGCTGGTGGGGGGATGGGGCCAGGTGGAGCAGCAATCAAGAGGCTGGGGTGGGGCATGTGGGCTTTGCAGGGGGGAGGCAGTAGCCCCTCTGTGGGGGTCATAGTCCCTGTTGGGGGGCCGTCGCCCTTGTATGGGGGCCATAACCCCGGTTGAGGGGGCAGGAAAATATATATTCATGTATTCATGAAACATGTATGTAGAGTTCATTTTATTATTATGATAGAGACACTGGTAGGCTTCCATACTGGTTTAATGCTGTAGATAAAAACATTTCCCAACTGACTGCTGTCTCTGTCTCACTCTCTCTGTCTCTTTAAAGTGGTCTTTTGTTTTAATTGTGGAGGAACACGGATTTTGGGGTATTTTACAGAGTGACTTTGTGATTTTTTTTTATCAGGGATTTTGAGCTGCTGCAAGCACATGTGCTTGCCCGTTAAGTGTGCTGTATTTCATTTATTTCCTAATCAAATATTTTAGTTCAAATACTTGTGGCTATTGGGACAAAAATTAACATGGGGGCCCTTTTTGGGTTTTGTTTACTAAATATAAGTCAAATAAGCATGTTAAATCAGATCATGCTCTATTTAGGGCATTGGAAAAATTTCCAATTCAAAATTTTCTGGAAAACCCACATCTCTGGCTTAGACAAACAAAACTGTTAACAGATTGTTTTTTTAAACAAGGAAAAGACCACTAAGACTCTTATCAGTCTTGATGCACACTGTGCATTTTCAATTATAACAAAATCCAATGATACTGAATCCAAATATTTTCCTATAAACAAGGAAGGTCATGTTGTTACATTTTAATCATTACATTTTGGCTTGAAATGCTGAAACACATGAGCAATGAAGTTAGCAATTCAGATTGTGTATAACATTAGAACTATATTGATCATTTACTTATTGCCACATAAAAATGGCAGAGAGGAGACACTGAAGTTAAAAGGGACAGGACTCTTACCATCCATCGCTGTCTGCTGCATTCACATTTACACCAAAATCAAGCAGGAACTTTACAATGTGGTGATGGCCAGCACATACTGCATTATGCAAAGGGGTAATTCCTTCATCATTGGGTTTGCTGGGATCATCAACCTTTTGGAACAAAATAAAATATTTCAGCACAAACCTTTTACTTCATTGAAAATAATGGGAAAACCTATCTATTTTTAGAAGTTCACCTCATATATGATCCTTTGTACCAGGTCAAATTCTCCCTCCAAAGAAGCATCAAGCAAGAGGGCCAAAGGATTGAACTTCACTCTCAAACCATGTCCTGTCCTCTCAGAATTAGGTTTCTTCAGGTTGGTACGTTTGGTCTGGGTGGAAGAGAAAATACAGTTGTCATTCTAGATGACACATATGTATGTCCAATCATTTCATTACTTTTTAAATAAACATTCCTGTGTTCCTGAAGTGTTAGGTAAGGGCCTGCCAACATCTACTGTAAATCCCCAATTTGTAGGACTTGCTATTTTTGCCACCATAACTTGTGCCAAGTAGAAACCTGAAAAGCATTCCAACACAGTCAAGAGATGTGTTCAGAAATTGTGATTACAAGGTCCAATGATACCTGAGCCCATCATTCAGAGTACTGTAGTTTTAAATGGTATCACAAGTGAAAGCGAATTATGTGGGCTCATCTTAGACACCATCAAGACTTTGGTTAATATTACAAAGTTTACACAATTCAGTATTACTGGCAGTCTCTATTTAGAAGGAATCTCAGGTCTGAACTAGCAGCAGTGCTCCCTGCAGGTCAGGACTAAAGTACATTAGTACTGTAGAAGGTTTTCCTCGCTTCAAACAGCTCAGAAAAGTACTCTTTGCATGGTTCTGGCTGGTAATTTCAAAAGAAACAGGCAGATGATCTGAAATACATAACATCATTCCCAGCATCCAACAAAACATGCAAAATAAAGCAATTTGTGCTTCATGTAGGCTACAGCTTGTAGTTGTAATTTTTAAGTTACTCTTATGTTTATTACTTGCATTTCTAAAAATAAAAAGCTTTCATTTGAAGAATATCCACTGCTAGGATCTCCCCTTTTCCTCCAAACATCCTGTACCTGTTTACAGATGGAGCGTATGTAAGATTTCATGTTCACTGCAGTCTAGTGGGACCCAAATCTTCAGTAAGGTCCTTGGATTCTGTGACAACTTTAGGTAAGTGAGAAAGTGGCAGTGCTCACTGTACTGTGCACCTTCCTACTGAATATAGCCATAAAATCCAGTGTACTGCTTAAAGCATTTCTGTCCCTACTTTTTCAATTCTCAATATTCAATTCAACATTTTCCTAATGACAAAGCCTAATGGACAGTGTCAGGGTGAAGCCGGAGGTTTTGTCAGTGACGAAGGGGGCAACATGGAAAGCTGTTCAGATTGTGGGATCAGCATATTAAGGGAATTTGCAGCTGAAATGAGGCAGCAACCTTGACATTTATGTTGTCTTTTGAGGTTTCAGACAACAATCCATTGAGGGAAATATGGGTATATAACACCTTCCAGAGTCACCCTTTCAGACTGTCTGCAGAACAAGGAAAGCCTCACTGAAAGAACTGTCTTTAAAAACATGAGTTCTTAATGCAAGCTTTTAAATTAAATCTCAGGTTTTGAAATTTAACTCTATGACAACAAGTAAATGCCACAGCAAGGTTTGTAGCCCCAACCCACATAGGATTCTAATCATGGAGAACCAACTACAAAATACTTGCATCATGTCCTGATCACCTAGTCAGGACTTGCATAAGAAACAGAACTAGTACATTTTCCATGGGTATCTTCACTGGTATTGTGTTGGATTTCCCTTTATTTCTTTAGTATCACATATCTTGCATTACAGTCATTTAACCTAATCCCACTGCCTTCCATTCACTGCATAAACAACTGAATAAAGTTACTTGCATAGACTGAGTGTCACTGTATGCATTGTAATAATGCTTGTGTAGTCACTTACTGGAGGAAGAGGAGGAGGAACAGCTGGTGGCACAGGAACTTCATCTTCTACTGGGGAACTAACCTCAGGTACAGGGCTAGGTGGCTGCTCAGTGGAAGGGAGTATAGCAGGATTATTATTACTATCTTCAGTTGTCTCAGAGGTTTGGTTAGTGGTTTCAATACTGATCAATTCTTCAGTGGCAGGAGAAGGTAATTCATTATCATTGGCATCTGATGAAGGAGGAGGTTCATCAGGAAGAGGAACTGTAGGTTGCACAGAAATAGGTTCTTCAATATTGCCATTGGTACTAGTGTTTCCATTATCAACATCTGCTAAGATGCCTATGAAGTCCTGTGCATTGCTTGGCTGATAAAATGGAGCACTTTCTATTCCTCCAGCAAGCGTATTAAAACGCTGATACAATAACTTCTGTATATTTGGCCCACTGGGTCCTTCAGGTTCAGTGATAGAACTACGCTTCTTTAATGGCCTGGGAGCATTGGCTAATTTTCTTCTAAGAGCTTCAAGATCAGCATCGCTTTGATATCGGAGGGGTGAATGGACAATAGGTGTAAGTTTGGTAGGACTGAGAGGTCGAGGAATGTTCTCTACATTGCTATTTTCACCAGAGGGAGGAATATTTTCTAGCTCTTGATCTTTTTCAGCGAGCTCAGCCTGAGGCTGAGACTGTGGCTGTGAAGAAGGGTGTGCAGGCAAAGAACCATGAAGGAATGGTAAAGGTGATGGAGAAGTTGAGCCAGATTGTAGAACAGGTTTTCCATAAACTAGAAAGAAGAAAACAAAACACAGTGAGCAATTGTTCTGAAATTGTAACAAAAAGGTAATGCAATCAGTTGCTGCATAGCAATGCCAATAGAGAAGAAAAGAATTTGAGTATCTGGTTTATGTCATAATCTCCCAGTTGGCCTACCAAATGCAAACTAGAAAAAAAAATCATTTGTTAGCCATCGGTATTTTTGACAATTATAAACTACTTGCACACAAATGGTAATACAGGAAGGAAAATCTCTCCAGACAATTTAGTGAAATGATCAAGAAATACCTGTAAGTAACACAGGCAGTCCTGAGGACTTACAACACAATTGGTTCCTGAAAGCAGTGTCTTAAGTCGAAACGTTGCAACTCGGAACCGATTTTCCCATAGGAAACAATGTTATAAATGGGGGATTGGTTCCTGAACCAAGGCCTGATACCCTGTTTTCACCAAAAATAACTCAGAATTTTGTACTCAAATCAATTATAGATGAGTAATATAGCTACATTAATGTATTTATATTGTAAATAGCAATCATATTGATTTGGAAGGACTTCGTGAGGTTTTATTCACCAAGGCGCCCCCGGGGGTTACAAGAAATAATGGCCACAAGCTAGCAGAGAGCAGATTTAGACTGGACGTTAGGAAGAACTTCTTCACAGTTTGAGTGGCCAAGGTCTGGAACGGGCTCCCAAGGGAGGTGGTGCTCTCCCCTATCCTGGGGGTCTTCAAGAGGAGGTTAGATATGCATCTAGCTGGGGTCATCTAAACCCAGCCCTCTTTCCTGCCTATGCAGGGGGTCGGACTTGATGATCTATTGAGGTCCCTTCCGACCCTAGCATCTATGAATCTATGACTTCTTTGAGGTGATTTTGCTGGACTTTTTGAAGGGCTCTTGGCTGAATTCTTCTCAGGAGCCTTGGCTGCAGATTTTTATGGAGTCTTGTCTGCTTTCTTAAAGAAAGTGTGCAAGGAAGTTTGGACAGATGTTCTCCAGGGAGATGGGCGACACAGCGACTTATTCGCTGTCATGGCATCACATCAGACCAAGCGCTGTAAAGTCGAAACTGAGGTCAGAAAGTTGGAACAGGGTGTCAATTTAGAAACGTTGCAAGTGTGAAACATTGTAACTCAAAACGTTGTAAGTCGAGGACTGCTTGTATATGGATAACATTTGGTGTTATATATATTGATGTTATTGTTCCAATAATTAGCACATTTCAGAAAAAAAGATAACTCATGTGCCTCTTTGCCGTCTCAAATACCACAACTATGATCAAATTAAATTGCGACATCACACTGTTTAAACAAAAAACAAACTTTGTCCCCTTTCCAAAATTTAGAAAAGTTATTCATGCAACAACTATTTATGTTAGTCTCAATGGAAGTGTTAGGCCAACAAGTAGTAGTTAATCTATTTAAAAAAGAAAGGCAAATATATTTTCTACCTGCTTTTACTGACTTATTTAGGGTGTTGTATACAGCTTGTTGATAGTTTTTGGGTGGGGTTGCTTGTTGAAGATACATTGAGTAGATGGAACTTGAGTTTACTGTTTGTGGTCCTTTTCTGGGGGACTGAGGCCTTGATCCTTTATCAGCTAGGAAAGGTCTGATAGCCACAGTTAAAGGAAGGTCAGGCCTTCCATCTCCTCCAGGAAATAACGGGGGGCCAGAAGGTTGATATGTAGGGCTAGGAGGTACGGAAATTCTCTGTTGGATCTGTTGTGAGGAACTGGGTTGATGTATGTTGCTTGATGGTGGTAATGGAACAGATCTTTGCCGACTTATTATACTGGAACCAGGTCTTGGCAGGCTGCCATCCTTCCGCCTCTCCAGAGAATTTGTAGAACTTGTTCCTAAAGGAATAGGGCTTGGATAGGTCCCATAGTTTTGAGGCAACTGCTTGCTCACACCAGGAATGGTTGGTGGCACCCTCCCCATATCAAGGCCCTAAATGAGAACACAAGTAGCATAAGAAAAATTAAGCAGACTGCACCATTTCACAAGTACAAATCAAAAGCAAAAACACCCACAGCTTAGTGATGCTGATTAATGTTCTTGACTGTTACGGAATAAACTGCTTATATTTACATGTACACAAAACTATGAATAGATTTCTTATATATTAGGTACAACACCACCACTTAATAGAGTGAGCACCATAGGTTTGAGATATACTCTGAGATGTCTTGACACATTGGAATTATAAGGCTGTGTCTAATATGTTAATATGAATTTATACTCTCTACATAATTATACCATCTCCATAATTTATATTATGGAATCTGCATAATTGGAAGCTTGAGTGACTAGTAAAAAATGAAACAAGGGTCTCCAAAATTCATGAGACAATACAGTGTGGTTTTAGTGCTCTAACACTTCACATTTTAAAATAAAGTCATTTGCTGCTTAGAGCTAACAGTTCAGGACAAATATAAACTGTTGAGCAACACACAGGAGGACACAAGCAAACCTGACAAGCTCACTATGGGACGAGTTTAAGGAATTTCAGGGATAACTTTATTCTTTTAAATAATTTAACAATCAGAGGAGGAAAAGCACTGAGTAAATATGAGTTTAATTAAGCAGCCAGTGGCAACCTGTAAGAGGTCTGAGGCCAAAGAGAGAGGAGGGAACAAAGCGTTTCAGAGGAGATCAAGAGCAGCAAAGGAATTGAGGGAGAAAGTTGGAAGAAACAAGAACGAAGATGCAGACAGATGGAGATTCACATACTCCCTTGCCTTCAGGGGTGTATGGCACTTAATGGGAGAAGAAATAGGATGGCAATGAAGAAATTAAAAAAGGAGATGAAATGAACTTCATTAGTGACATTTTTGATAAACATCAGAATGGAAGCAAAACGTGCAGAGACCATTAATTAAACGCACCAGCTTATCAGTACTTCCTAATAAAGAAGATGGCAAAGGCTGACTGGATATAGTTCCTTGTTTTAAAGCTGTATCCATGCTTGATTCTTTCCAGTCTGCGTTGGAGAGCTGGGAGGGTTTTACGACAGGGGCTGAGCTTTGCTTAAGTGTTGGCCAGTTTCCTTCAGTAGCTTGAAACAAAAGAAAAATGTAATATTTAAGATTATCTGTGCCCATCGCTGTAAACAAATAAGTTAGTTTAATTACAACAGGATTAAATTTGATTCCAAAAATTAGATAAACCCATACTAATGTCAGCATCTGATTCAGAAGAAGAGACTAAAAACTTAATCATTAGGCATTGCATGCTATCTGTTACCATTTGATATTCAAATTTCATTAGAGCTGATTTTAATGTAAGAGATAGCAGATGTTGCAGACCTAGCTCCAAAATTTTGATCAAGTGCAGAAATCAGACCAAGATTTTTTTAAAGTTTATTTATAAGAATACTTTGCCCGTGCTTAGTTTTTGATACATTGTGTATCATCAACATGAAAGGGCAAATTCTTGCTATTAAATTTTGAGTACCTGCAGTCACTTAGTAGAGTAATTCTAAACTTACACCTGTATATCTGTGAGCAGAATCTGACCTAGTCACTGAAGTGTAAGGGCTGTATACCATAAAGACTCATTGTAGCTATGTGGTGGAAAAAAACAAAAACATTATTATGCTGCAAGACATCAATGCTTTTCTGCCTCCTTCCCTATGCTCACTGATTATAAAAACATTTCCTCGTTAAAGATTTAATTTTCCAGAAATAAATCTCAAAAATCAGTCAAAACACCAAGCCACAGGCATATCCATTCATTGTATGCAAAAACATGCATAACTGCATGTAAACTAAAGGAACCAGCACTTCGTTAATTCCTTGATGCTTTAGTGTACTATTTTAGTACTTGGAAGAAATGGTTTCCTTTCCATTTTCTAAAAGATACAAGATTAAAATATCTGAAGTGAAATCTTTGCAGTTATTATAAAACAATTCTGAATTACTACTTTGAGCTGCTGTTTAGAAGGTCAAATTTCATTTCCTAGTTCTGTTGTTGTTGCTCCATGGGATGGAGAAGCTGTTTCCCTCCCTTCATTCCTCTGTACTACCCAAAGCAAAACAATTTAATAATAGAATTGACACACAATCAGACTTAGTCTCTAGAGGGTGGCACCCAGGGTGCAGTTTTAGATAGATCTGGAGAAGATTTATTTAGATTCCTAGAACTCCATTTTAATGAGACCAAATAAAATGTACACAGCAAATATTCAAACTTCAGAGAAAAAGTTCCACTACCAAGGCCCCTTAGAAGATCTGTGAGAGTTTCTTTCTAATTGCACATTCCTTGCCATGCTCACATAATAGAGTTTCTGCAAAAACAGTTATCAGATCATAGGAGAAAAAAAAGGCTGTGAGGGACCTCAGGACATCATCTAGTCCAACACCCTGCTCAGCCCAGGAATACGTCTAAACCTTCCCAACCAAGTTGGTATCTGATCTGCGCTTTAACTTCCAATGGCAGGGATTCCACAACATCTCTAAGGAAATCAGTTCCAGAGCCTAACCAACCCCACATAGTTTTCTCACTAATATCTAACCTAAAGTTTCCCTTGTTGCAATTTAAGGTTATTACTTCTTGTTTGACCCCCTGTACCCAGAGAAAAAATTGACAATCATCCTCTTTATAAAACAACTCTGTATTTGAAGACTTAGACGTAATTTGGTTGAAATATATTCTATTGTATTAATATAATTAAATAAAACAATGATAATTTTACCCCTTAAAGAGGCCACATAAGGGTGGACTATATACAATGCATTTAACATTCTTGTTTCTCTTTCTGCCTAAAAAAGTCAAACCAATTCTACTGAACACCCAATTTCTGAAGAAGTAACAATCTGGAGACTATTTGGCACCCCATGTTTCTACCCTATCAAAGAATGATCAGTCTGTTAGCTCATGAATGTGTCTTTATCTGGCTCAAATGATTAGGTCATCTATTTTCTATCCTTTGCTTATTTGAAGTTACACCCTCTACATCTGAGCTGTCCTACTAATCATCTTTGAATGATCTTTTCCAAAAGTTCCACACAAAACTATTTAAAATGTACATTAACTTTTTAATTTCAAATCAACTGAAGTTGAATTTTGAGAAATAACTGAATGTGAGGGATAGGAAAGGATTATTGATTGTTAATTGGAAGTAAAGATCATTGTAGGCATTTATTTATTTATTTTTGCTTAAATCACTTTGCAAAACATACAGTCTAGAAATTGTTTTTCACAGTTTGTAGATTGCCCGGAAGAGCTGTAGTCAGGCCCAGCATCAAGATCTGACTCTGTCCAGGAGCCATGCACCTTGCTTATTTTTCCACCATCTAGTTAAGAATAAGACCAGAAGAAATGAAGTAAAAAAAACAAACAAACAACTAACCCTTATATCGAGAACTTTTCTAAATGCGAGTACTGCTTTGGATTAAAGTTTACTACATGATACATTCAAGACATTCTTTAATTCTAGCACTTTGTTAAGGTTTGGCAGAACAATTTCACAAAATAAATGAAGCCATTCTACCCAATTCATACTAAGCAGAGGGAGACATCTTAAAATTATAAGCTTAGTGCCTAAGAGGGAAACAATAACATTTTGAGGCTAAAAATATGATAGAACAGTAGAAAATGCCAAAACATCTTCCATTCTCTTACAAAGATGCACACAGATTTACAATGAAACCTCAGAGAACTCATAAAAGTCATACACTGAATGCCGTATAATCCTTAGAACTCCAAAAATACAACAATAGGTGCTTATCCTTAGCATTCAAAGGAGGTAAACAGGAACCCAATAAAGGTCCAATTTGTTCCAACTTTCATTCTTTCTGTTGCCTTCAGCTTCAGAATGCAGCTACTCCCACCTTCCCGCCCCATCGTATCCTACTTGAGCAGACCTACCAAACACCCTACATTTTCTTCTTGCAGCCCAAACTGAATGCCATACATACCAAGCTGCTGTAACAGCCTGCAATTGCAACTCATGACAGCCAGTAGCTGCTGTGGCAAGCAGGCCGCCAAGCAGCTTCTCTCTGTTGTTCCCTCCCTTGGGTCTCAGCAAGGAAGGATCAGCTGTGATGGACAAGGAACAATGAGAGCAGAAGCTGCAGCAAGCAGAGGCCAAAGGAAGCAGAGATGTTGAAAGAATCCGAACTTTGGCTTCCCAGCTCTACCCCTGACACCACTTCCCATCCAGTGAGCAGCCTCCCTGCTCACCTTGTCTATCCAACTGATGTCAAGCAAAATACTGTTTCTGGGCACCATGCCACGAAGTTCCTATTGCTTTGGTACCAGCTACCTCTACAGGTTTCGTAATAGCAACCAAGGCCCAATAACAGCAGTCGGTCTTTGGAATAACTTTCATACCATTTTGCATTGATAGATCTTGGATCATTTGATAAACATGAGAAAATGCTTATTGCATTTTATAGCTGGTGAAGGCAAGACAAAGGAATAAATGACCCACAGCAACAGAGTACATGAACTGCAAAACCAAGAATAGAATCCTGGTCCCATTGAGGCAATGGGAATTCTGCCATGGACTTCACTGCAGCCAGGATTTTACCCTGAGATCAGACTCAGATCTCCTAGTTCCCCGGCCAGTAGACCATGAATACCTATGTAAGCTACGCAGGGAATAGTGTCTCCAAAATAAATCCTCACATACCAATAACTCATAAATTTCCCCTGACAGTCTGATTAGCAGCAACAAGGCGCCTAGTAACTTCTTTCAGTATCTTTACAATCAAAACCTCAATTGCGGAAACCCATCCCTAGGGTAATTCCACCGGTGACACTGAAAGGATCAATTTGCTCAAAATCTGTTTGTTTCCATTCTTCCTTTTAATCTGCAGGTTAATCTCCAAGCAATTTTATATTTTTACCAGGATGGAGAGTGATTTCTAAAAATGCTGTTTAATATGTATCTGCATGAAAGAGCTCAGATGATCATATTAAAACTTGGCATTCTTAGATAACCAAAGATCTTGTAGAGACTCACAGTGCTGGGTGTCAGAAAGAGTAGATGCCAGGCAGATGACACTGTGAACAGCAGACTGAAGAGAAGAAGTGGAAGCTGACAGAATAGGATCCACTATTATGTCTAAATCAGAAATCTTCCAGGTGCCTGGAGATTTTTTCACACACCCATAGTCAGTCTCTACAGAACATACCGAGGCAGGTCCAGTCACAGAGATAAAGAAAGAAAGAAAGAAAGAAAGGGGCGGGGAGAAAAAAAAAAGTGGTGGAAAGATTACAAAGTAATGGCAATGGAGAAATTAGAACTTAAAAACTTAAAAATGAATAAATAAAAGAATGACACATGGGAGAAAAAAAATCCCCAAGATTTGATCTATTTTCTATTCTCTTAAACTCTGAGAAAATCATATAACTACACTCACTATAATCAACATATAAAAATCAGTCTCTGGAGAAAACAATCACTCTTTTCCACTATCAGAAGTCTCTCATGCAGAGTTACTCCTTGTAGTAGAATATGGAAACTCCCACAGTGCACGGACAGTCACCCAACAAGTGAGATTTGCAAACAGCAGCAATTAAACTGTGACCTGTGAATTATTTTCATATGAGATTAACGAATTAAATACACACACAACCAAAGGAAACATAAATATTGTGACAAATCTGTCATTTCACCTCATGTTCAAGTCATTTCAAATATCCACTTTGAATTTCCCCAAAAAAGCAGTAAGATGGGGAAAGCCTACTCCACCACTGGGTCTGAGGAAGGATCTAAAACTTAGTATATCTTGCATGGAATTAACTTCTGGATCTGATACCAAAGGCAGTGTACTTCAATTTCCAGGACTTGAACTTGATTAACAGATTACTAATACCAGAGTCTGAGGTAGAGGGTGCAACATGCAATACTAACTAGGAGTATGCTTTAGGCCAGGGGTGGCCAACATGTGCAACAGGTGCCACAAGCGGCACAGGCAGTATTTGTGTATGGCATGTGGCAAAATGGGAGGGGGGACAGGCAGCAGAGTGGCAGATGGGGAAGGGAGCAGAAAGCAGAGCATCAGATCAGGCAGGGAGCACAAAGCAGGGAACAGAAAGCTGAGCAGCAAATCAGGTAAGGGGAAGGGATCAGAGTGGTACATGAGGAGGGTTCAGGGCTAATTTGTGGTACGCCTGCCAAAAAAGGTTGACCCCTACTGCCTTCAGCAGACTGCAAAGTAACTCTTTGCATATGTCGTACAGAATGGTTCAGCATCTTCTCTCCCTGCCACAGAAGCAAAGTATAAACCTTGAGGAAGTTTTCAATTCCAACCACAAAAACATTTTTGGAACAATGTGGCAAATCACAGGTAGTTTGCATTGGTGGTTGCCCCCTGCTCTTAAAACTCTTCACTACAACTAGGCATCATGCCCAGATGCTTGGGACTGCATTTATCTGTGTTTGTAGTCAATCTACTCTTCAGAGTTCTGACTTTAGCAAGGCACATACTGCAAAATGAAAGCAAATTGGCTCAAAGACTTCAGGACAGCTGACATACCATTAAGGCAGGTGGTGTCCTCAGATGTTAAATATGAGAAAGAATATTTTCTGCTTTACAATACATCTAGAATTGTTTACGGTGGGAGACGACACTGGGACCATAGCGCTGAAGAACAAATTATGAATAATTCTATTTTGCCTCCTTCACTAACCCCAGTGAGAAAGGGATAGACAACTGGAACACTAAAAACTATTCCACTGCAACACAAGACACCACAGGCTGGAACTAACCACCTTCCTCTTGCTATCAGAAAGCACTCTTCTTTTTTTATTTTAGAAGCAGTGTGTTTTTTACTAGACCAAGTATATACATATGTTGTATGTAAGATAAGCAGCCTTCTGTAAACAAATGGAAATTAAAAAATTACAGCAACTATTTACATTAAAAAAAAATCTTGGAAGCAAACACTCCTAGGGTAGGAATTATTCAGTCAATTGACACATGCTCTTTTGTAGATTCCATATTCTGTTCGAATTCAAGCAAAACTGAGAAGGCAGCATGCTCAGCCACTGGACAAGGGTAGGTAGAGAGATACAAAACACTTCATGTTGCTCAAATGACTATCAAGCTATCACAGAACTGTACTGAGAAGCCAAATTCAATCAACCTGAGATAGAACTGTCAAAACACAGGATTTGCAAGAACTATTCCTTGCCCCTCTCTCAGAGCAAATACTTAAACAGCTGTTGTAACTCACCAGATTTTGATCTTCCATGGGTTGAACTGGAAGCAATGGTGAGAGACTGTGGTTTCACTGGGTCCACTGGTACAGCATAACTGCCTGCACTGGGAACCTGGATGTAAGGTCCCACTGCTGCTACTCTTCCTGAAGCACTCAAGGATGACTGTGGCGATGAGGTTCCGTTAATACGATTTAACTAAAAATAGACAAACCAAAAGTTGTGTGAACCTCTATTTATCTTGGAACATTTGGTGTCAAGATAAAGTGTGGTTAAATAATCTAGAACTGCACAATATTGTTGTCACAGTTCTAGTCCATATAAAACAAACTTTGTTCACCTAAAAACTATTAATTTTGTTTTACCATGATACAAATTTTCCCATCAGGAAACTGTTCTGCTGTCCAAGAACTCTTTTCACCTTCAGCCTTCACAGGTTTGTGGCCTAGTGAGTGGCCTTGAATAACGGAAAGCAAAAACCTGCAAGTATTCCCTCTACCTGAGATTTTACTTGGTAATTCAGAGAAACTCTACCTAATCTCTTGTCTACCAGGCAACTAACTAGGTTAAAGTTGCTGGAAACCGCTCTGGCCAACTTTATTAAACCGCTTCTATTTAAATAATGTTTTACTCTGGGCAGGGAGGTGATAATTTCAACATTTAAGAATATGTTATTAACAAACCAAATCAAACTTATATGTCAATGCATAGCCCTAGATTAATCCTTCCTTTCTGCATTACTGTAACTGTTGCAAATCTTTATAGTTCCTAATATAATGGCAACACGTTGCCATTTGAGGGTTTCTTAATGTCTATGGAAAGCCTGTAAAAAATTAAAATTTAAAAAGTTTGCTACTTTCAAAAGTTTTCTTTTTTGTAATTGTTTGTCAGCTGGAGAAAAGTTACATCTTATGAAGATTTGTACAGGTTGTGGAAACCACCGAGGTGTGGCCCTTTTAATAGTTTATCTTACAGGGATGTTTTCTTTTTGACGTGCCTCAACTTTTTTCTTGTACAGGCGCTCACGCAGCTCATTGATTCGCTTGTCCATCATAGCCACCTCCATGTTGCGTTTGTTTAAAAGTTCCTTCTGCTGCTGCAGCTTCGAGTTCTGTTCTTGATTAAGCCTGTTACGGATCTTTAAAAAAACAATGGTTATAGTTAAGGTAGACATTTCATTTTACCTGTTGTTGTTGTAGCAGTAAGGTGTCAAAAGATATAAAATAATGTAAAACAACTAAGTTTTCAAGTCTAAGTCTACACTTCTACACAGCCTAGTCGATAAACATTTGCATTCAAGTACAACTCTTAAAACAGCAAAATAAAGTATGTCCTAGGAAGCAATTGACCACTTATGAATATATGTAGAATCCATTCAATTTGTATCAACTGGATGAAGCATCTAAGCATAAAGATGTTTCATAAGGGAATACTGAAGTGAAAAACAAAACATACATACAATTTGTTAGTAAGCTGATTTAGTCAAACCTTCTTATTTCTGAGATGCATTTTTTAACATCATGGAAGGTAAACAACACTAAAAGAAGGTGTCATTTTCAACATTAGTTATGCCACTGATTCTACTTCCAATTCCAAATGAAACCTCTTGATGCATGAATGCAATGCCAAATGAACTGCTGGTGCACAGGCTAGACACTGATTTTCCTCTCTACATTGGGATTAAAGGGAAACCTTCATTTGAAGGCTTCTGATGGCTTATGGGGTAGGTTACCTCTACAGTTTAAATCAATCATGTCGTTCTTCACAATTATTTCTCCTGCTTCCTCACTGGCTCTTTGGCACCTTCAATAATTCTGACAGTTTGTCCCAATTTTCCACTTCTCGCGCTGATGTTACATGCAAGAAACTGAGGCAAATTTCAATCTTTAAGAATATACAGGGGGTCAATTTGACAAAAAGCAACATAGACAGCTCAACCATATGTTAAGCATCTTAAAAATTACTTCAGGAGTGGAGATGCACCTAATGCAAGTGGCAGGGGAAAAAAGCTATCATTTCTCAATTAAATAAAAAATATAGTGGAAGGATTAATTTGGGCCTCATTGTCAAACCTGATATAATAATTCAAATGAACCCTCTCCCACTCCTCTTCAGAGATAAATATTATTTTATTGTAAAATTAACACCTACTAGCCAATTACATTAAAGTTATTATACAAAAAGGCCTCATTTTAAAGAACATCATGTCAATCTGTGCACAAGGTAATCAAGGGTAAAATATTAATGCATCCTAAAGGAGTAAAAATTTGTAAGGGTTACTCATATTTTTTTCTCTTCCCCTACTTCCCCACCCCAAGGCGTTACTCATATATTTCTCTCTCCCTCCCAAGAGTTATTCATATTTTTCTCCCTCTCTTTCTCACACACATACCCTGTTTCAGTAGTCATCTCAAACTCAGGACATTATAAACAAATTGGAACTCAAAATCCTGTCAAACTAGAAAGTCACTAAACAGATGTAATTTTATACATGTCATCTAGATGACAAATCAATGTAAAAAATACATCTTACCTTTTGAATTAAAACCTACACTGTAGCTATAACCACTATCTTGGGAAAGAGGTAATTGTACATTTTTATATGAACATTGTCTATATTGCTCTGTTGTGCGTTTAAAATACAAGTCAGGGCAGGTACATGTACACATAGTTAATGTATATACGTGAGGATATACCACATGTGCAATATAGTAGAACTGAGGTCATTTGTATCTAGATGGTTCACAACCTGCTTAATTTGCAAGAGGTTACTGAGGAAAGGCTGAGGCACACAGCTCTCTGCTGTGGCTTTTAATTCAAAGGACGCTGCTTCTCCACTCAGTCACAGCCGATCAGTAATCCCAGATAGCCGACTGGAGAAGTGGTGCCCACTGAAATAAAAGCTACAGCAATCACCTGTTTACTCTGGCTTTGTAGGACTTTCACACCAGTTCACAAACCCACAATGCCATATGGGTATGACACCTAACCCCATGCAGTATCTGAATTCTACTGGATAACTATGCTTTTGTCTTTGTATTCTGTATTGCACTATTTAATCATGCTTTCTAGTTATAAAAGCTTGTAACATACTTTGCTCACTTCACCACAACCTCACAAGAGAAAATGATGATAATTTTAGATAAGATGATAATTTTAGGAAAAAGGAAAAACTTGAAACTAGTACTAGTTTACATGTTGAAATTTTGTATACACACTTTCTTTTCCCTTAGCAATCCTCTTCAAACATTTACTCAGACTTACATTACTCAGACTAAGTACTTAAGTGATTCCAAAGTGCTTTTGAAAAAGTAAAGAGGGTCCCAGAGGTTTATATATTTAATATGCCCTTGAAAGTTAACAATATTCCATCATATCAGTAATGGAATTTCACAGAATCAAATGCCCTGGCAGCACTAGATGTGCAGCAGTAAGTATTAAGCTACAAACACTGTAAAACTGTATCCATTAATGGTTTACCTGCAGCTCCTGATACAACTTTTTTAGTTCTACAGCTGCAGGCCCTGTCATCTGTCCATTGTAAGACTGGAAGCCATTCAATTTCCCTTTCCGCAAGTCTTCCAGTTGCTGAGTGAGTTGATCCACTTTTAACACTGCAGCTTGTAGCTCCTGCTGCTTTTCCTGGAACATTGCACTGATGTGCTCAATTTCAGTAGCTATGATGAATAACAAATTTATAAAAAGTGGTTAAATGGAATACCAGTATGATTTCCCTATATATTTCCATAGTTTTAATTATAGAGCTATTGGGAGCAATGGGAAACTAGTCCTAAAAATGTTCTAAAAATACAGAAGAGACATCTCCATGAATTTAACTTTACCACATAACATACAAAATTATGTATTTAACCTATGATAGTTTGCTAAAAGTTAAAATATGTTTATTAAAAGTACTATATATTTATTATAAAATTCCCTCAGAATACTACTTTATTAACAATAGAACAAATTATTCAATATTCTACTGCTATGCTAATAATTTGCTAGCTCTAATCCAGAGTATAAGTGAAATGAATTATAGCAGAGCTGTGAGAGATTATTCAATGCCTCTTCTCTGCAACCTTCTCCCTTACCTCCCAGGCTCCCACCTGGCCACTGTTCCCCCTACAGTTCTGCAGCCAATAGCAGCAGTCAAGACCTGTGGGCTTTCCCTCTGGCTCTGGCTTCCTGTACCTGCCCCAAGGGGTGAGGCAGCATGCAGGAGCCCATGGTGTGGTGTGGTAGGAGTGGGCAGCCCCCAGTGCACCCTCCCTGCCATGTGTGCAGTGGCACAGGTGCATGGTGAGGGGGGCCACCTGCCCACATGTGTAGTGGGGCGTGGCTGTCCATGCCAGTGGAGCACTGGGAGAGGGGCCATCTGTGTGTGTGTGTGGTGGAGCAGTGGAAGGGCGGGCTTTGCGCCATGCACCAGTGGGGGACACCTGGGGGGGGCCCTTGGCTTGTACTACTGCAGTCTGCACAGGGTGCTGTCCTCCATCCAGTGCAGGATGGTCGGTCTCCTGGCCACGGAAAAGATGGACAACCCTGAATTATGGAAGCAGATTTGAAAAATCCACATACACAGGTTGCCGTTCATGATCTTGCTATAGTCCACTTGCCCTCTCATGGCACGGATTTTTTTCAGCTTTGTCTCCTGGGTCTCCACTCGTTCCTTAAGTTTTTGAAGCTTTTCACTCTCAGAAATGGACTGCTGCTGACGACGTTCTTGCTGCTTCAGATAACGTAAGCGTTGTTCCTGTCAAACATATTATCTGATTTCAAAAGAATTTACCTGCTAGCCAACTATCTACAAAAATAGCAACAAAGCATGGCTTTAGAGAAACTAAAATATCACTATGAATAGACAGTTTTCTTTCCTGTGCATCTTCTCTGCACGGGGGAAAAAAGTTAGTTCTGATGACAAAAAATGAATTAAGATGTCCACTAATAGACCTAGAAAAGGCTAGTATTAAATATTTGTTTGCACACATTTGTCTTCAAAAATGAAAAACAGAGCATACTGCTTTTGAAGCTCATAGATAAAACTTTGAACTCACACAAAAACAATTCCAGCTTAAACATTACTTCCAAAACATCTGTGAAACTTCCTCCAGTATTTGTTTCCTGCTGCTAGTAACATGCTTCCTGCTGCAGCAAAATGGTTTCCAACACTCCATTACTCAATTTCCCAAAGGAAACAAACAAAGACCAGTAAAGGATTTTAGGCTAGCTAAGATAAGGAGATCTACTGTAAGATAAAGTTCCAGGCCTCTAAATTACAGTCCTTGTCCTGGGCAAATAGGGGAAACGTTTCTTATTTTCTATATAATTTCTTTTAGAAAAGTGAAAATACAATTGCAAATGAAATTGTTAGCTTGAATCCTTTTAAATGTACTTCAATCCAGGCATGCAATATATACTGTACTTTTATACAATCTGTTACAGCATCACAAAATGCTTCAAACATATCTATATCTATCTATCTCAATAGAGGCAAGTCTAGCAAAAAGAAAAAATATAACCTACCAATCTTTGTGGAGATGTCTCAAACCATTTTGCGCACATTGTGTTTATTAAATTGTAATATTCTATATTGCTTATAGGAACATACACTTCTTAATGCAGAAGATTTCTCTACTTCACTGACAGTATTTCCTATCTTGACAAAACTTATATTTGCATTTGCAGAAGGGAATCCCCAATTAAATTTTACCTGTGTATTTAGACCACCGCAGTTTTTATTTGTCCTGGTATTCTTACCTTAGCAACCAACATTTGCTGCTGATTTTCAATTTGTTGTTGTTGTCTGGCAGCCATATCTTGAAGCTCTGAAAATGTGAGCTCAACGTGTGGATTCCCAACCTAGAGAAAGCACAAAAGCAATTCGTTAAAGTTTTCACCTGTTTATACACACTGATATTTTGACATTAGAAGCCATGTAGCAGTAGTTTTTAAATTTTTTATAAAGGTTTCTACTTAAACCGTCCCATTTAGCATCAAAGATAAATTTGCACTTTGGCTCCCACCAGGGATGCTAAAACTACTACAAATTCCTGCACAGACATCAACACGCTGCATGTTGCTGAGACCACTCTGCTTCCAATCTGAACTGTCAAAGCAGCTCCTGGTGGGCAAGGGTATTAAAACAGCAGAGCACATTCTGCTGCACACTGTAAAAACTTATGAAGAGGCAAGAATATGACCCCATCTCTAATCTGTAGTTGCAGAATCCCTAGGAAAAAAAAGAGGCAAAAACTCCTATGCGGGGAAAGGGGTTGGGGAAAAGAAGGAAAAAAAACACATGCACCAAGGAGATTAGAATGGGGGGGGGAGAGAGAGAGAGAGAGAGAGAGAGAGAGAGAGAGAGAGGGATTAATATAAGAAAGTGAGGAAGATGAAGCAGAAGGGAAACAAATGTGTAAGGCAAAGACTGAGGAGGAAAAAAAAGGATGCCTTACTTTACAGTGAACTATGACTATTTTATACAAGGGGATCCCACTCTTGGTGTACATTCATCCCATGCACAGGATACCAATCTTTAAATCAACAGCCATCACAGCATGAGTCTCACCCTCTTTCCTGGCAGAGGCAATCCCCATGAAGAATACTAACTTTAGTCATGGGCAATATTTGACTATGATGTCATGAATTCAAATGGAAGCTTCATCAATGAAGGAAGGTACTAAATACCAATCCCAAGAGGCGGAAATTTTTCTAACAAGTGGAAAATCTATGACAAACATCTTTAAAAAATCTGAACAACTGAATGAGAAAAGATTGTAGATTGTCTAAAATGGGTAAATTGTCCATTTTGGACTGGGGACTTGTGTACAGATGCAATTAACTGAACTCTGAACAAAGCGACAGTCCTAACTACTTTTAAAACCAAGCAAATTAGTTCAGTGTTTCAGGAACTGGAGATTCCAATGAGCCATTCCATGCTGAGAAATCCACAAGGAAAAATCCTTCCACTTGCACTGCATGTGCATCCGGTAAAGGTTCCTCCCCCCACCACTCTACAATAGATTTCCTTGAAATTATACTGAACAACTTCTGTCCACTGATATTAGCCACATAATTTCCATGCTATCAAATGCTAGGACAAGTGGTCTTGGTGGAGAACTAGACTGGTCTTGAGAGTGCCAACAGAAGTTGTGGCAGCTTGTTATCACTGGCTGCAAAAACAGTTACAAGGAACTCCACGTTTCCAGAAGATCTATATCTTACATGATGACAAAGTTGTCCTGCTTAAATTATCTGCCAAACCACTGATTTGCTCTGGAAGATGTACTGTCCAAAGGTTGATACAATTTTGAATGCCCCATTCCCACAGAAGTATGGTCTCTTCACAAAGAGTTTTGATCTTACTTTTCCCTGTCTACTTGGGCAAAACACTTATCTTGTCAGTTAGGACCTGGGCCGTTTGTCTTTTCCTAGATGCAGAAGCAATCTGTATATCAGTTGTACTGCTCTGAGCTCAACTGCTATTATAAGACCTTGAGAGTTCAACAAGGACCTTGGGCCAGGAGTCTGTCGAAGGTCTAGGTAAGTCTTCCACCCCATGTTATCACCAACATGCATCTTGTGGATTTGTTCAACTTTGTACAGAGCCTAAGATTTATACTGGAAGACCTATGTGAGAAGTTTGCAAGCTTCCCTGGAAACACTAGTTCCATTGCATCAACTCCAAAGGGAAAATCTACCACTTGCTGTAAGAGACCCTCACAAGAGTGGTTTACAAACACAGCTTGGGGTAGGATAGGGAGAAGGCAGAGCATGGAACTGGATTACACAACCTTCTTGAGTCACTGCAGAAGTCATTGGTCCACCATAACCCCTGATCAAGCAATCTTGAAAAATAAAAGGACAGGTACCAAAGAGAGCGAGGAAAGAGCTCCTTATAGAACTAAATCAGTCACCTTCATAGAATCATGAATTGCAGAATCACATTACAGTAAGAGGAGTGAAAAATGCCAGGAATAATTCTGAGAACAACACCAGGAACTATATGTGGCCTTTATCAATTTGACCAAAACCTTTGACACTGTTTACCATGAGGCTTTATGGAAGATCTTATCCAAGTTTTGTTGCCCAGGGAAATTTATCACCATCCTAAGACTCCTTCATGACCAGACAAAAACCTCCATCCCATGCAGTGGCTCCACTATGAAGCCCTTTGCTATTCAAACTGGCATCGAGCAGGGCTACATGATCACACCAATTCTGCTTTCCATCTTGCTTGTGGTCATCAAGAAGCTCATCCATGACCATTTGCCACATGGCACTGGCAGCGAGTACAGGATGGATGGGAATCTTTTCAATCCTTCCCACCTCTGTGCCAAAACCAAAAGTTAAATCAACCTTGATTATGGAACTACAGTACGCCAATGATTGTGCTGTCATTGCACATACTGAGGAGGATCTACAAACAGCCCTTAACTGCTTCTCTCAAGCACACCAGTGTCTGGTACTGACCCTTAACATCAGAAAAGCAAAAGGTGTTTGCTTCACCACCCTGATGCAGGCCAATTAACTTCCCCAGCAAAGATCCTCACTGACAGAGAGGAGTTGGAGAACGTTGAACAGGCCAACACTGATGAGGAGATCCAGCATAGGATCCAAAATGCAAGCTCTGCCTTCAGAAGACTGTATCATCACATGTTCAACGATCATGACATCAGGACTCAAACAAAGTTTCTATTATAAAAGGCTGTGGTAACCCCAACTTTTCTCTACAACTGTGAAGCTTGGGTAACCTATAGGGACCACCTGAAAAGCCTAGTACGCTTTCACCAGCGCTACCTCTGGAAGATCCTTGGTATAAAGTGGGAGGATTGTTGCACAAATGCCAGTGTCCTCACTGACGCTAACACCAGCAATATGGAAGCATTGATTATTCAACATAGACTGTGGTGAACAGGGCATTGTGAATGCATTCCTGATGTACATTTACCAAAACAACTGTTATGCTCCCAACTCAGCCAAGGACAAAGGACACACAGGGACCAGAGGAAACACTTCAAGGTGAACATTAAGTGGGGCATTGACATCACAACTTTGGAAAAACTAGCTCAGGACAGGGTTACATGGTGATGCTTTGTGAGAGAAAGTACATTTTACTCTGAAGAAAACCATCTTGCCCTGGAGGCAGAAAAATGACAGAAATGGAAGGGAAAAAAACAAGACCTCTTTAACTGCCACCTGTGGCATCTGCCAAAGAGTCTGCAGCTCTAGGACTGGCCTTCTTAGCCATCAACAGACTCATCTACAACCCTTTACTTGACTTGTGGGAGTGATCATCCTGAACTGTGAGAGATTGCTGCCACCAACAGTAAGAGGAAGAGGACAACCTTCTCTTTTGATAATGTGGTCTTCCCCCTGAGAGTCAGTGTTTACAATTATTGAAATAGGAAGATGAAAACTGAGACTGAGAAAATTACATATCAGAAATCATTTTATCCTACAGGACAAGATGTATAAGCACAAAGACTCTTAGTCTTCTAATCAACATAAAGCATCCTTGGTCTTCATGCTACACATGTTCTGTTCATCAAAAGGAAAGCTTGTTCTGAATTTCCTTAGATAAATCAAGTTGCAACAAACCAGCAGGCCCTCCCTGCTGTAAGCCCAGTGACCAGGGATTTTACTCTTATTGAAGAATTGTTTTGGCAATAAGATGGACTTGAATTCCTGTAAGATCTGTTGAAACTTGTCAATAAACTGCGTGACCCATTGCAAATTGTCTTATCTGGTTAGCAAAGCCTGATAGTCTGTTATTCCAACATGTAAAGTGGTTGAAGAATAAACTTTCCTACCAAAGACATCACTCCTTAGTTCCATCTTTTGAGAGAAATTAAGATAGGCCAGAGAGTCTGGACTGCTCATCCATGATTGTCATGACTACGAATCAGTCTAAGCATTCAGGATCCTCAGGAATTGATGCCAGAGTAGCCTAGAGATCTTTTGGCCATCAGCACAGCAACTTTGCTCTGGATTTACAATGAAAAATATTAAAATGATCCAGATACAAAGACTATGTTATCCACAAAGACCAATATGAACGAGTCTTGAAAGCATCAGGTTATGATATGGATGCCATCTCCTTGGCACAAAGATGCAAGAAATACCTGGCATATGATCTCTATAGAAAGAACATGGCATATTAGTTTGGTGATCTGGGTCTCTTGATAGATTAGGAGAAATTATTCTGATTGTGCAGAAGGATTCTTGCTGGAGGTGGCAAAAAAAACTGCAGTAACAATTCCTCAAAGGATACTATTTATTTGAAGTCACTGACACCTGGAGTGGGACACTCAGATCTTGGAGTCCCAGATGGATGGAGAGAGAGCTTTATAATAAGTAGTAGTACTCTAGGCTCCAGTACCAAGGAAAATCTTGAAACCACTGATAGAGGACTGCTAATTTTATGATCATTTTAATGGCTTTCCAAAAGAAAATCTAAAACAGTTCTGACTTTACCCAATAAAGAGATCAACCCACATAATTAATTTTTTTGTTTGTTTTTAAAAACTTTCCAGTTAAAATAAAACATTTTAAAACTTCAGAGTCCTGACAATATCAATACAAAACAAAAACAGGAAGACACCCATTTGTGATGAGCCATTATTTTAAGTGTTATGGGGCACTAATGCAGTATTTTTAAATGTTTTAACTTTTTGATATTTAAAAATTGACATCACTAAAATAAAGCAAAATTATTGTAGCAAAGCAGTTTCTGAATAATAGCTACAATGTGTAATATCACTTGAAGATCTGAAATTGAAATTACATGTTTTAAGCAGGAATATAATACAGCAGTCAAATTCAGTTTCATAGTTTTATAAATAAAAATTAGTCATTTC